CCCGCCTCTTAAGTCACGGGTGATATGTTTCCACGTTGAAGAAATGCGGGAGCAATGATAGAAGATATTGTAGATTTCGAAAAGATGGAAAAGGTACTGCTGCCAGTGTATTCTTCTATCGCTTGAATTATATGTTACTATGCTAGGAAGTCGTGCTGGACATCCACCAGCGCCAGCCGGAGGAGCTTCGTGAGGTCAACATCTTTCGTAAGTTCCTCGGCCAGCGGCACATCCACCCCGAGCCTTTCAAAGATGTAGAAAAGCTCTGGGTATCTCTTGATGGCAAGCCCAACATAGTACAGGTTAAGACCATTGCTCTGCGATTGGATCTCCTCTCCGTACTTGCTTTCCAATGACCTCAATTCCACCGCGTCATGAACCTTGCTGCGAGTGGCGGCGGCCCGGAGCAACAGAGGAAATGGAGAGAGAAAATTACAGCTCCCCTGTCCAAGAGTTGCTCCGTGAACAATCTTGGTCGTCACTTGCAGAGAAGACGTGGAATATCGTGCTCCTGTGCTGTTTGCCCGACGATGAGTGTATGAAGGGACGCTGAGTTGGGGTAGAGGAATCACTGCCCTGGAAACTGTTCGGGGAAAATCTCGACCAAGATTGCCTTGCGTCCGTCCGGCCGATCTGACCACATGAAGGCAACATAGTCCTGGCGGGTTTGCGGCACGACCGCAAAGCCATGCTTGCCATGCAGCCAACCTGAGGGCTTGCTCCTTGGTCATCGACGCGAGGCAGTCAATATCCTTCGTGGCTCGGGCGCTCCCAAACATGATTACGGCATAGCCTCCGAATATCCAAACTCCACGCCATGCTCGCTGAGAGCGCGGGCAGGGCGATGGCTGCGTCGTTGAGCGCACTTGGCTCATGACTTCACATAAGCTGCAGAGAAGATTGTAGAGAGATGAAGTAAGGTAAGGAGGTTGAAAAAGCGATAGAAGAGGGAGTAGGGCGATGGGATAGGGAGATCATATATACTCCCGCCATTGCACAAAAGAAGGCCACCCAGCATGCCTGCAACAGCATTTCGGCATGCATAGGGGGCAGACGATTAGGTGCAGTGACACAGCTGAATTGTGCTACCTCCTGCTGCAATCCATAGGAATCCTGCGATGGATTTTACATGAGCTGCTTCGTGTTCGTCGCGTAGGAAGCAAGTCACCGTGTTACCCGAAATGGGGTCTATTCTGGAAGTCTTGCCGTCTACCTGCTGGAGAATCAAAGCAGGGCGGCAGGCTCGCAATCTCGCAGCCGTTCGCGGGCCCAGCCTTCATCCAGGTCCATGCCATCGACGAGCTCTCCAACGGCAATCATGGCAACATCGTCCCGCATCGCGAGGAACTTGGTGGGCAGGCCGGCCAGGAACGGGCCCAGGCGGAGAACCGTCATCGCCGCCAGCTCGTCGGCGGTGTAGTGGCTTTATCTCTTTGCTGAGGCCGCCATCATCGGCAGCTCCAAGGTCAAGGGTCATTTCTTTCAGCGGCTCCAGCCCATAGATGTTCGCGGTGAAGATGACGAGGGCCTGTTACATGCCTGATAGGAAGGTTGTCCTGAGGCGAGGAAAGCCACGCTTGTGTTTTAAACGTCCAAGGGATCTGGATCACAGGACTCGAAATTTTCCGAAAGACACAGCTTGGCAGCTGCTGATATTAAAAATCCTCCCGATACGCAAAGTTCCAGTTCCTATATCGTTTCGTCAACGCATGGGTTCAGGGGTATCAGGAGCGCGTGTCTACAGACATAAACAACGCGTGGAACCTTGTAAAAGTTGAGTGCCATTTCACCGACAATACACGCCAAGATGCCGCACTCCCCGAGAACAGGGCTGACTACCTCAATGGGCGTCATTGTAATTAGCAAGCCGCGAGGCAACAAGCCGAAATGTGATGCAGGTTGCAGGATAGCTCTCAACATCGTTGACCCGTTCCGTTGCGAGAGAGACCCATACAAGCCCCCCCAAGACTACTTGTTGCCGCAGGCAAACAGCTCCTTCCCTCCTCGGGCCTTGCCTCCTAGCTTTCCCAACTTCTTGTACTTCTCCGTGCAAAATTGCTTCTGCTTCTCGTGCAAAATTGCTTCTGCTTCTCGTGCAGAATTGCTTCTGGCTCTCTTACAGAATTGCTTCTTCACGTCCACTTCGTACAAAAGGTACCGAAATAAGCTGATTGTCGCACAGAAGACTACGATGACCCCGCATCTTTCACGGCTCCTGCACCGGTCCTGGTACAACCGTGTGCAGGTGCTCTCCGACCTGCACTTCGAGATCGGCCAGCAGTACGCCGCCTTCACACTTCCCGTCGCCGCGCCCTACCTGCTCCTCGCCGGCGACATCGGGCGGCTAGTCGACTACTCCGGCTACCTGAGCCTCCTCGCCGCGCAGGCCGCGCGCTTCGAGGCCGTGCTTGTCGTCCTCGGCAACCACGAGTTCTGCGGGATGAGCCACGCCAAACGGTCTCGGCGCCGCAGCACGAGGGCAGCCCGCTCTCGTCGGCCTTTGCGACCGAGCTGCTGGCCGAGGGGGGCGGCGCGCGCCGGGCGCCCGACGGTCAGGGCGTGGGTGTTTGGCCACACGCACCACTGCACCGACATGGTGTGCGCGGGCGTGCGCGTCATGGCCAACCAGCGCCGCTACGTCCTTCCCGGGATGTCGCTGGCCGCCGTCAAGGGCGCAAAGTGGAAGAAGAGAGCCCGCACCTTCGATCCTGCTAAAGTGGTCGTCGTCCGGTAAGCAAGCCACGTCTGATGCGCCATCTCCCAGCGCAAGAAGAAGGTTTTGGACAATCCACTCGTTATTTTCTAGTCTTGATGGGCTATTCTGTAGGCATTCTATCGTGAGGACCCCAAAGGGTGCAGAGAGGAGACAAGGTAAAGAAACGGGAACGAAAAGGAACGCGGCAGTTTTCCCAGCCATGACGCCTCGTGTATGTATAATCTAAAGGTAGATAAGACCAGCCCAAACAGTAAAGGATGTAATCAACGGAACCGAAAAAGGCAGCAACGCAAATAAGAATCAAAGGCCAAAGAGAAAAATGTTTCCATCGTCACGTCGTATCATCAGAGCAAGGGCATCAATCCTACTTCTTGCGAGCCCGCTTGGCATCCTCGGCCGAGTACTCCTGCGCAAAGTTGGCGTCCTCCAGGCACTCCGACACGACCGGGTTGATAAACATGTGCTTGTCGAGGCCGCCGCGGAAGAGCAGCTTCATGACGGTGACGCGAAAGTACAGCGACCAGGTGTCCACCTTGGCGGCCCTGTTCTGCAGGCGCAGCTTGTAGCGGTACCCGTACTCGGCGCGGCCGTCCTCGGTGCGCTGCCCGGGCGGGACGCGCTCGTCCTTCTCCGGCACGTACAGCGCGGTCGAGTAGTAGGGGCCGACGCCGCGCTCGAGCGCGGTGACGACGCTGACGAGGGCCTCGCGGAGCTCGCGGCGGGAGCGGCGCGAGGACGACTTGGCGCTGAGGCGGGCGAGCTCCGCGATGCGGCCGACGAGGCGCTGCGGGTCGTACTGCAGCTGGAAGGGCTTGCCGGTCTCGGCCTCGTGCGCGCGCGAGGACTCGTAGACGAGGGCGACGCACATGGCCGCGTGGGACTGCACCTCGACGTCGGAGCTGTCGAGCTGGTCGGTGAAGGCGTCGATGGCGGCGTCGGCGTAGTCGGCGTAGTCGTCGACGTGCGCGGCGACGAAGCCCCAGGCGAGCAGCGCCGCGGACACGATGGCGGCGTTGTCGTGCGCCTCGATGCTGTCGCCGTCGCTCTGGACAATGTCCACGAGGTACTCCATCGTCTCTAGCGCGGCCTCCTCCGCGCCGCCGCCGTACAGCACGCTCATGGCGAGGGCGTGCAGCGCCCACACGCGGCAGGCATCGTCGTCGTCGTCGAGCAGGATCTGCTTGAGGGCCCGCGCGGCGCCCTCGTAGACGTCCATCTCCTCGACGGTGCCGAGCGTGATGCAGTAGGCCTGCAGGCTGAGCAGGCGCTCGCGGGGCGAGTCGCCGCGGTTGGCGCCCTTGAGGAGCGCGTCGGTCAGCGCAGCGGCGGCGCCGTCAAGCCAGAGGTGCGTGTCCTCGGAGTAGCGAGTGCGCATGAAGCGGATGAAGGCGTCGAGGTACTGCTCGCGGAGTTCGGTGTTGTTGTGCTTGCGGTCCTGGATGGCCTGGATGAGGGCGTCCGTGTCGAGCGCGGGGCCGGTCGCGCCGTCATCTGCGGGCGTGTCAAGCGAGTCGGCCGAGTGGATGCTCGACATCATGTCGTCGAGTTCAAAGTCGCTGCCGTCTGAGTCGCTGTCGGACGCCGGACGACTGTGCGTGGTCGAGTGCGTGGGCGACGTCAGCAGAGAGGCCATCGGAGAGCTGGCTCCTTGCGGCGTTACGGCACCCGAGGCGCGCCCGGACTTGACGGCCTTGCGGGAGACGGTCTTGCTGCCCTTGAGGGCCTTGACTCGGGCGTGGTTCATGATGACGGTGATGGTTATGCGCGGGCGTGGCGAGAGGCAAGATGGTCTGGGGATTTTGCTCTTCTCTGCGCCTGCAACTTGGTGTGTTATGCAGGGGAGTGCAGAGATGCTTTATGAAGAAAGCTCGAGCGCGAAAGGCTAAAGTATGACGCCGCTGAGGCTCTATTTCCGTGTATCTTGTGCTGGTAGTGTGGGGTGCTTTAGCTATCTGTCCGAGATGAAGCGTGGCGAGAATATCGTAGGTGCACGGCACATGTGGAGGATTCTGGTTGGCGAGGATGGGAGGGCTGGGCGATGACAACGGACGCGCACCGTCGTTACAGGATATTCCGGTATGAAGAGGAAAGCAGGTAGTTAGGTTATGGAGGTGTGTGATTCCAGAGAAAGCAAGGGCAGGACAATGGCATGGGAGTTTAATGGGAAAATGGCGTGTGGCGTTGTGGGTAGGGCAGCTGGCCCATGACGTTGCCAGTGAGCGGCCAGGGTTTGGCGCTAAGGCCAGTGGCGGACGCGCCATTACAGCACATTTGTCAACTGATTTACAGCAGGTTGGACGGGCAGAGAGAGACACTACCTGGGTACTACTACTGTATGTATGTACCATCGTGTCGCCACCCGACCTGCGGCTTACATGCCTATAATTTGGGAACAAGAGAAGATAAAAGCTTTGGAAAATCGCATCTAGACATTTAGTCTGACCGCATTTTTAACCATGCTCTTCTGCCATACCTACCCCCGCCTCGACTCGTAGGTAGCCCGCCATCATCCAACTTGGCCAGCCGACCGACCGACGGATGCCAACACCCCACCAGCCCACCTCTCCATCCCGCTACCCGCCCGCTATCCCTCATCCCTCCCCTCCCCGTCATCCATTCCACTTCCCGACCGCTCAGCCTGTCGCTCTCCCATGTGCAGGGTCACTTGGCCCTGTTCATGTGCATCTCTTTCTTGCATCGGAGTTTGACACCGCATTAGCTGCTGCTCCCTTCCAAGCCTCCCCTGACTCCTTTGGGAAGCCAATAGTATGACCAAGCCAACAAGATACCCTAATACCCCGCGCGGGGAGGATGCCTCCCCGGCATGATGCGGATCATCATCAATTCTCAACCAAGTATGCCCCAACCCGCATTCTCCCGTCACAGCTAGTCATGCAGACCAAAGTTACGGTGTAGCTCCGACCGGTGAGCTGGCCAACCCACGCTCCAGGCACAGTGTCGCATTCTATGTATGTACCAAGTTAGGTATGACGCAGGCTAGTGCAAGCCACGGGTAAGGCAAGACAGCGATCAGCTTCATGTCGTGGCGAACAAGACGATGTGCGCATGCACGGAGCCCACATGACTACACCGCGCTTTGTATCCGTACGCTGGCGAAACCCGACCGAGGCTCAGGGCCCTGACGCTGAATCCAGCCAGCTTGCAGACTTGCCCCGATAAGATGGGATCAGGATTTGCCTCTAGAGACATTGATGCGTTCTTAAACGAGTCTCAGTTTTTTGATTTATTCACATGTGCGCTATATCGCAGCATTCAGCCAACACACAAGTGTGTAAACCGCAAGTGCGGTATATGTTTACTCATGTCTATTTATTCATAGACTAAAGGTTGAGATCATTCTGATGGTATATTGTGCATCACTTTTTTTTTTTTCGCCTTCATCAATCCCACTGCCGCAAGATACCTCCGTCTATTGCAGAGCCTTCTTGGCAAAGTTGGGCAGGACAAAGCTGGCCTTGTGAATCTCGGCGTTGTAGTAGCGGCACTTGGCCTCCTCCTCGGCGGGGGTCCAGGAGCGGACGGGCACCTTGACGTCGCGCGAGGCGTCCTTGCAGCAGACCATGAAGCCGATCTGGCCCGAGGGGTAGGTCGGGATGGTGGTGTAGGCGTACTCGACCACCGGGAAGATCTCCTTGCAGTCCTTCTTGAGCTGGGTGATGAGGGAGAGGTGGAGCCACTGGTTCTCGGCTGTGATGGGGCGAAGAAACGTTAGCGACAAGTCCAAAGGCAAAGCGATGAGAGTAGACAATCAGACACGGCAAGCTTCTTATAAAGCTAGAGCCCCTGCCGTGGCGGGACTACCGCGCGGCAATGGGTTGCCTGGAAAAGTCACAGCACTCGCTCGTGGGTGCGCGACTCTAGGAAGCAAGGGCGGCCAGAGCAGCCATTTACTGGGTAAGAAAGAGTCCTCGGAAGAGAACATTTCATCGCCAGTAGCCCCTGTCCGTCATCGAAGCGCGCACCTTGACTTCTCCATCGATAAAAATGAGACATACAACCTTGGGTAGTGATGACGCCGCCCTCGCGGAGGGCGTCGTGGAGGAGCTGGAAGTAGGGCTTCTGGAAGAGGCTCTCGGCGGGTCCCTCGGGGTCGGAGGAGTCGGTGATGATGACGTCGAAGCTGTTCTTGTAGTCGTTGAGGAACTTGAAGCCGTCGCCGATGTGGACGGTGCTCTTGGCGTGGGTGAGGCCGGTGGCCATCTCGGGCAGGAACTGCTTGGAGACGCGGGGGACAGCCTGTTCGGAATTGGTTGTCAGCGGTCGTCTCAAGGCAAGCGAGGTACAGTGAATATGTGTCGAAGGGGGTTACGAACCTCGTCAATGTCGCAGAGAATGGCCTCCTCAACGCAGTCGTGCTTGACAACCTCGCGGAGGACACCGCCGTCGCCGCCACCGATGACGAGCACCTTCTTGGGGTTCGGGTGCGAGTTCATGGCGAGGTGGGTGATCATCTCCTGATAGGAGAACTCGTCGCGCTCGGTGCACTGGATGACGTTGTCGAGGACGAGGACGTGGCCGTAGTCGGTCGACTTGAAGACGAGAACATCCTGGTACTTGGACTTTTCGTGGTGCAGCACCTTTTCGACCTTGAGGGTCATGGCCTGGCCGGGCCACATGTTGGAAATTTCGCGGAACCAGCCATCTGAAGTATGTTAGTAACAAATCGATTCAGTCGTCTGCAGGGTTCATTTTCCCGGCGTTGGGCGTTGATGGCCTGGTCATTGTTCAATGGCTGTTCTCGTCACCGCGAGGAGGGGTAGATATTGCGGGGTACAGCTGTTTTTTTGCGTCTCGACTGTACGCGGTAAACTTACCCTTGATGGTGGGGTGAGTAATCTCGGACATTTTGAATGTATGTATAGGGGCCGAAAAGGACCAATTCAAAGGCGAAGAGTAAATGAGAAGACGTGATGGTGAAGGAGGGGAAAATGAGAAGTGGTGCCCCCAAGCTCGAGCTGCAAAAGTTTTCCTCATGCAGGCAGTGTAGCTCGCGAAGACCCAATGACAGTTGGGTGGGCAATAAATCCTCAGTCAAAGGTGGATAGAGCCTAACTTAAAGCGGGACTAAAGACAGTAACTTGGAAAATGAAGAATATCATAGATACTTATACTTAAGCATATGTCTTATAGTATAACAAAAAGAATTGCAATTCCTTTTCACCAACTAGCCGGCACAACACAGGATGCCTGTCTAGTGTTGTTGCATATCGTCATGAGCGTTTCCCGCCGTACGTGACTGTTGTCCAATGCAATGGCGCGCTGTGATTGGTCCAAACTGGCCATCAGCCTGACGCTTAGCTCCGTCAGAAGATTTGTTTGGCCGCACCAAATGTAGCAAACGAGTCTTCCAGTGGCAGTTGACCAACAATTGAGCCAAAAGATGGACTACAACAAAAAAATAAAAAGTGCAAAAATAAAAACATACAACAGCCGGTGTTCGCTGGTCGTCACCGACCCACTACTAATCTGCCGATTAACCTTGTCTATGGGGGAGCAGACGGGACCCCGAATTCTCTGTTATCTATGGTCGTATGTGCTAGACTTGTCTCTAGCACTGCATATAACCTCTTAGTCAAGGAAGCCTGAGTAGCGTGTTGATAACCGGTTGGTACATCGCGAGACCTCTGGATTGACTAATTGGCTGCCCATTGATTGGGGCAAAGGGCAGAATTTAATTTAGTTCGAGATTGAGTGAAGTTTTGGGCCCCCTCTGCATCAGGTTGTGCAAACACTTCGGAATACCCTCATATCGTATTATTATTAATAATTGACCTGAATCAACAGCAAAAGCAATGCGAAGCGCTGTGGTACGGGAGCACCTTTGACACCTTAGGATTGCGTCACGGCCCCGACGTGTGCACGGCAAACGAACGACGGTCCTCTGGTCATCTACAGCGCAGAAACGACTCTAGGGCCACCTCATGCCGTCAACTTGTCTTCTGTGAACTGATACTTCTATTCTAACTAGCTACTAACTATCAAATCCAAGTACATGGAAATCCACCTCGATGTCTCCTTGGCTAACGTCCCTGAGATTGGCCTCCTTGCTCGTCCTCGAAAGTCAAAAGGGACTCGCCACCTCAATTGGCTTTCCCAGGAAGGCATTCAAAAACATGCAGTCGACTTCTTTATAATACGCTCTATCTGGTGGTCTTGAATCACCGAAGGGATCCTTGCCGTCCTTGATGCCCTCGTGCCAGCTCAACTCTACTCTACCTTTCATGTCAGCTCAGGTTCTTCTCATAAGAAAGCGTCTCTTCACGGGCCAAAAAAAGAAAAAATAACATACCAAGCTCAAGATATTGCTTGTTAGACAGCGATTAGTACACCTCGGTGACCTCGGGCAGCCCCCCAACAGCTATTGGCATCTCGTGAATAGTCCCTCGTCAATGGGTCGAAAAGCAGGAGCAACCACCTTGCCGTTTGGATCTGTTATGTCGATCTGCAAGACACAAGCCACCTGCGCGTTGATGTAAATGATCCGGATCGGCACTGGTCGCCCCACGTCCTCCTTTTTGATCTCGATCAACGGCCACGTCTGATCCATGTAGGTCGCGGACCAAACATCGGCGTAGTGGACTGAGAACCCCGACTTTGCCTTGTCACCAAACCACACCCACACCGCGTCGTCGGACCGCAGATATGCCGTGTAACGCCCTGCAGCGTGCGGTACGAAGCAGCCGGTATACTGGACCGCAATGTAGTCGTACGTGCTGCCATGGGGTGCCGGCGGCATCTGATCCATACCAATCGCGGGAGGGTAGCCGGCAATGTCCAAAGCACCCGTGACGCCCGTCTTGTTAGCCGTTGCTCCAGTCAGCGCCATCACAGGATCAACAACGTAGTCGCCACCCCATCGCGCATCATTACCAGCAGACCTGTGGATGGTGTGTCCAAGGCTAGAGGTAAAAGGTACGTCGTGGGCGTAGTTCGTGTATCCGTGAAAGTTTGGCGGGATGCGTCCGGGGCCGTTCCCCTTGCGAAAGAAGAACTCGTAGTCCAGTCCCGGAAGAGCCGGACAAACCCCGTTGGTACAGCTTCCATCCGGACAACGGACGTGCCCCAGCCGACAGCTACCGTTGCACTGTTGGTTGTCCGGGATGCACTGCCTCATCGGCTGGCACCACCAGCGGTTGCCTGGGCAGTCACAGCCTTCAGCAACGGGCATGCACGTGCCACCCGGACATGTCTGGTATTTAAGGTTACCAGGGTGGGAGAACGTCAAAGGCCCTGCAAAAGAGCTCTTCCTATCTCCCCACCGGAAAAAGTAGGCATCGTACTGCCCTGCACGCAGGCATTGGTTGAGGCCCGCATCAGCAACAAGGGTGTCCGGCAGGGTTGGGTGCGTACTTCCAGCCCAGGTGGTTCTTGTCGCCCCCATTGCCTGGGTCTGCGCCTTTGTTGAAAAGAGCGATCCAATTATCAGGCTTGGAGTTGCCGGTCGTGTACGTAAACTCGGGTGGTGCCGAGCCACTGACATAGGCCAGCGTGCCACCGGATTGTCTCGTTTCTAGGTTGCCGCGCAGGCCAGAAGGACCAACACGAGCTGGGCATATGCTCGCCAAAAGGAAGAGAGCCACCGCGACTCCGAGAGACCGCATTGTGTAGCGAATTGCAAAGTAGAAGAGATTTCAACAAGTTTGAAGTAGTCGGCATGTCAGGAGAACAGTTGAGAAGAAAGAAACAGACAAGACACTTCTTGACTATCGTGTAATAGTGATAGACGTTCTCGGAGAAAACCACCGGGTCTTCACACCATATTTTTACATTTTGGCCTCTTTGTAGGCGTCATAGCTCCATGTTGCTCATCACAACCTCGAGATGTGACATGGTAGGCGCGCCTAGTTCGGGCACAAGACGCACAACAACCATCGTATGGAAACGCTCACGAACAGACCTCACATACTTCGCCACCACTGCTGCAGTAAGACGTATCCAGCAGCTGGCTGTGAGGCTACCTTGCCGTAACCTACAGGGTAATATCTTTCATCGGTAGCTCCTACCTGCGCGAGGTTGACTGACAGAATTATGAGGTTCTCTGTATCAAATGTGCCGCAATGAGCCATAGGATACTTGCAATATAATATCGCGTGTCGTTCTTGTGTCTTGGCTGCAACACCTTACCACAGTCACGCACCGGCATGTCGCGTTTACTGTGTGCCTCGATTGGCTAGACAGCAGCTGAATTGGCTAGACAGTAGCTGAATTGGCCAGACAGCAGCTGAAGGGCTATTTACTTTTTTTTCTATCGAAAAACGACTACTTGCAAAATCTTAAAGGCAATTCCACCTAAGAGCCGAAGCTGCACTGCTGTGAGCCCCGTCTGATTTAAAACAAGTCAAGTAGCGCTATCAATACTGCTAAGTTGCGGCGTAGGAGCTGAAGTCGTTTGAGATTCTGACAAAGAGTGCATGTTCGCAGCGAGGCGGTTCCTTCAGTATGTAGTACTGCGTGTCGCGATTCACCCTACCCAATGAAATAAGTGTTGCGGCCCGAGACGGGGTACAACTAATAGGGACGATAAGAGTTGGGCATAACGTCACTCGAAGCTCGATTCTTCCTCACATATTCGCGGCTGAGACAGCAGCAATGTATGAACCACATTGGGTCACACCAGTAATAGTCTGTCTAAGTACCTAGCACAGGTGTCATAGTACAGTTACTTCATGGTCAGTTCTTCATCACGCTGTGCAATTCTCTGTACAAACGGACAAAGCAATCTAAAATACACGCAATGCGATCAACATTTGATGAGCGATGCATGAACTGGGCAACGCCAAGGCCGTGTTTCAATACTAGTCCTTCGCCAAGAATTCATCGTACACCAAACTTTTCCCACCATGTTCATATCATACCAGGAAAAGAACTTTAGCAAAGTGATAAAATGTCAATTATTTCCTTGTGTGGCGATGTTGAATGGTACTCTCAGCGGCAATCGGACTGTCGGTAGATGATGCTCTTCGGTGAAGGATGGACAGTGGCTGGCTGGAGTTGATGCTGTATGTTGCATCCGCAATGCACGTAGCATGACCTTGTTCCATCTCAGGCCGGCTCGAAAGGCGGCCGGCAGGTTATCTATCAGTTTTTGAGAGCGATATGGGCGATTGCTTCTTCCTCCCAGGCAGGTGTGTGCTCATGACTGCATAGACTTGACAGGACGTGCCAAGCAACTGCGGAGAAGCATGTCTTTCGCAGAACGGGTGACAAAGCGACTCGGCAGCACCTGTAATGAAGGAATTGTTTAAGGAGCGCCCGCTGCCAATTCTCCGTACATCCGCCAGCGCCAGTTGCTTCTCCCCAGCTAGCTTTCCCTCCTGTCCATACTACCTGCATTGCTTAGCACTGACACATTCTGATACTGTTGCGCATTGTCAAATAAGAGATGCAGCTCCCACTACTTGCTTCCGCCGTGTTGGCAGCAGCCGCCGCCAGCGAGCCGCCCTCTGCATCCGCAAGCTCGAATCTGATAGTGTCACCCACGTTCCCGTCCTGCTCCGGCTGTGGATCCAACAGCTGCGGCTATACGAAGTACTTCGTCTTGAACTGGGAGAGCCTGGGCATCTGCATCTGGGACTAGGGCAGCACCGTCCCCGGCCAGTTCAACAACAACGCCGTCGCGCCCATTGCCTTCACCCCACCCGGCGGCATCGCCACGTCCATCGACGTGCCCGCGCCGCGCAGGAGGGTCACCGTCTCCTTCTCGACGAGGTCATCGAGGAACGCCTCTGGGTGCGCGGCGTTCTACCCGAACCTGACCGTCAAGGTCAGCGGTGGCGTCGCGGACCACAGCTTCGAGATCAGCGAGAACACGATTGCGTGGACGCAGAAGAGCTTCACGTTCAAGCCCAAGACGGATGGCATATTTGTCATTGCCGTCACGACGTCCCCACAGGCAAGTATCGGGTGCGCGCCCACCATATACAACGTCCAAGCATACCAGGACAGGGAGTGAAATTGATGCTCTGTGTTGTGGGGGACGCGGGGAAAACGAATCCTTTGACAGCAACATGTCAAGGCGAATACAAGGGTTGGAGTTGAACTATCAACGGCATGGTAGCAGCGGCTTTCAACAAGTCGTGAGGGCGTGCAACGAACGCACTGTAGCGAGTGACGTCTTGATTATCGAGGCTGAATGTAGATAGGACCCAGATAGTGTCTCATGGGGTAGTGCAAACGATATGATGATAGTCTGCATGGTTGATTAGAGAGGGCGACGTACTAAGAAGGTAGACTGCGGCTGCCGACCGCTGAGCCAATCGGACGACGAGCCGCGAAGCGACAGAGGCGAGGCAAAACATGGAGACGCCGGCATTCCGCAGCTATTTCCACAATCATAGAGCTCATGTAAGCGGGCTGTGCACCTGCTTGCCGCACAGCCGAGCCCGGACATCAAACACCATGCTCGTTGGTGGTGCTCCGCGTCGATTGGAACACCATGATATCCAGGCAGATAGATGCAGCCTGCGTCTTGAAGTAGCGGGGTCGCTGTGCTTCTCTCATTTGAGAGATTCTATCCATCAATTTGCAGGGCGGCACTGGCTGATGAGCTCGGTATCTTGTAGATGAACCACCGCACCGTCAACGTGGCGATGGCTTTGCTCGCCGTAATTTGCCAGGGAAGGGCTACGTGCTCGGGTCAAACCTCGCGACTGGGCCACCAGCTCATTGGCCCGCCGGGACCAGCAGGCCGCGATGTGAGACTCAATGTCTCTGGTTGACAAGGGGGCAGGTCAACCAGGATAGAGACGGGAGCTAAGAGCGGCCAAGATCGGGACAGGGTGCGCTTGTCTTGCTTCTTTTGACTTACTATCATTTATAGCTTGAACCAAGATTGGATCCGTGCAGCCGCGGTGCAACTAATAATGCGCAAGCAATACTTTGTAAATGGCGCGTACAGCGCTGTGAGAACATGAAGGTAGTGTTTGGCCGGCAGGAAGGGCAAGGCAACCGATGACTGAGCGCCTCGTTATGTCGGCTATGTGGTTCGGAAACCCTGTGTCGCGGGACCGTCATGATGATCACCATGCAAGTACCGGCCGTGTTGGTATAGTTAGTATCCGATAGCCTTCGACTCTTCTCCGGCTCTCGTCTAGCGCTCATGTTAACTTCTCTGGCCAAGGGAAGCAACTCCTGAAGCTGATAAGACGGCCCTGTCATGGGGATATGGAAGCGCTAACGATGGCACCAAGGCCCAAGTTCATGTAAGCAGGTGACGATGATTTGGTAATGGCAATCCAGACGACCGCCGATGTGGCGGTTGACACGGCGTAATGAAATCAAACCCTTTGCCAATTGAAACATGGTCGGGTCAGCTGCAGGTTGCAAAATGCGCCTCAGAGGTAGCGGGATCCACGAAAAGCTGGCAGGTCTGTCGGATCTGGCAGGGTGCGTCCATGTTATGCAGTAGTTGCATGCAGCACAACGCAAAACTGCATACGAATAACTAGTAGACAACTAAGGCGGTGCACCTGTGTGCCTGAAATCCTGGGGAAGGTGGTTGATAGCCGAACACCCCCCAGCGGCCAGTGGTCTCCATATGCCGCGTATGTTAATAACCTCAAATATTATCCGGGGCCAGCCTCTATTACTTTGCTGGAGGATATTCGTAGTGCTCCGTGAAGCGTAACAATGCTAGGGGGCTGTATAAAGCGTCCGCATCAGGCTGCGGTCGAAACCAGCCACGGTTGAAGGCCCATAAGTAGCGAGACATGCCAGGACAGCGCCTCTTCAAATTCGCAGCTTCCTGAAATTGCAGCGTATCAGTAGGGCGCGTTTTTGGCTTGCATAATGACGCCCAAAATCCCCTGTCCTTGTAGCCATGCCATGTTGCCATGTTCCCCGGTCTGATCCACAGGCGCCACATCTTTGCCATGTTAGCGCCCACAGGAAGTCAGTGGAAGAGAGATGTCGCTGCTGCAGCCTGCATGTTTGGGGAAGAGAGAGAGCGGTCACCCTGTCGGCAACAAGGGGTTCTCTGGGAGCATGAGCTGCGGATGCATGTGGTATGGCAGAGGTGGCATGTGCGTGCCAGCATACATGAAAGCAAAGTCGTCGACCTTTCTGAGGACTAAGCCACCTCCCGGCGGTGCTGTTTGATGTGCATGCACATGGCCAAACAGAGAGACCAATGCCGGTAGATGCAAACGCAGGTACTGGGCTGAGTGATGGGATAGACCCTGGGAATTTCCACTCCTGTGCACGACGATCTGAGCTGCGAGGCTTATTATAGCAGGTTCGCGACGGCAAATGGCGCGTTGTTCAGGGGGTTGCCGATGTCATGATGGTGACCGGCAGGCGGCATCCTAGCTCTGCATGCACGTCTCATTCTGGGCATCCGGGGTTCAAGTTGCCATCGTAATCCTTGTCTGCGGGAGGCGGGACCTCTCATTGTGCCGGCCACGGAAAAGAGTACACAGCCAAGACAGTTTACCTTTTTATTAGCCATGGATGCAATGATGCGGTACTCTGCTGTTGGGGTTTAGCAGGAACGCCGTATAGAAGCTGGCGCCGGACTAGGGATGACATCTTCGCAGAGCACATGGTTGGTATAAGACGGGTGTTAATGTTGTTGACAGAATGGCTCAAGCCGAGGCTAGAGCCCACAGAAGGCAACCGATAGCCGAGGTGATGGTAATATTGAGGGTATGTCGCTTTGTGGCAATTCTCGAGGGAGCTGAATATGTTCTCAAGGTACCGTAGGCGCTGTTGTGTTTAGAACCGGTGCTGACTTGCATCTTCTCGAGACGACGAGGGGCGAGATGAGGGAGATGTGCCCAAATGTTGACGGACGATGGGTAGACATGTGGCAACTAATCGCACAAATGGTGCAAGGCGCGAACTTCAACCGCTCGCAGAGCTAACTCTCGTTTCTCATGTCGATGATAATGCCAGTGAACTTTGTTGGGCGGCGAAGCCAAGAACGTGTGAACAAATGATGTACGTGAGAACCAATTGGTGGAGATGCCGTGTGGTCTAGCGATAGGAAACGAGATCGCAAATCGGAGGGCAAAGGCAAGGTGGGCATAACTAGACGGAGAGCAGTCGGTTGGTTGGTAGTCTGCAAATGAGCTAAATCGAGAGACTTGAGAGGTTCGAGCTCAAAATCCTTATTATTAGTACCTGCAATTAGTGTGAAGTGGAGTGGGCGGTGCAGATGCGGAGCAAAGGCCGTTTGAGGCTTGAGGAGCAGGGTTGGTGAGAAAGGGCAGAAGAGAGGTGGAAGTAAAAGGGACAAGGACAGCCTCACCGAGCTAAGAGCTGTCCTGCTTCAGACGACTCTTGCTTGCAGATGCCCGACTGCTGGGAATCTGCAGCTGTCTCGCCGATGCTGTGCGTTGTCAGCAAGGTGAGGCGTTGAGGCAATGTGGCGATGTGGCGATGTGGGCTGTTCATCGAGCACCAGCACGGCAGGCCAGGAAAGAATCGACGCCATGGGGCGGCATCGTACGGGCGTTGAACACAGACCCCTTGCCAAGATTGCCTGCGTGCGCTGCTTTCAACATGTCGTCCCGTCTTGAAGCCTGAGAGCTTGGTGTTAGCGGCCGGGAGGACGAATTAGCAACGCGGGAGCAGGTTTTATGTAGAGGTGCCTGGGCGGTTGGTGCCGACGCATTGACTCGGGGCGACTGTATTTTGAGTTGGGGGCTGCATGCAGGATCTATTTCGTGTAATATCAGGAATAGGTGGTAGTGATGCCGATGATGAATGCGTCATGTGGTATGTTTCAAAGGCTACAGCTGCGAAGACGGATGGATTGCTTGATACTGGGAGGTAGAGGCAGCTCTGCCTCAGTCAGGTACAATCAACCACCCTCAGGCACCTACCAAGGTGTCTTCTTGAGTCTCAAAAGCCCCTGGCCCGCGATTTGCTGTCGTCTCCTACTACCATGTCCCCGGCTATAACATTCTCAACTGGCCCCCCCCCCCCCCCAAAAAAAACGACAGAAGGATATTAACCTCTGTTTTTTGGTGGAGTGTTTAAACTATGTACATAGCTTGATTGCGTCGGAGCACTAGTTACTACATAGTGCAGTACTAACCGAATACATACCGTGACGTGACATGTTGCTGCATTTCCGTCTGGCTAGCTGTCATTAGAAAAAGCACGCAAACTACAACGTCTAATCAAACTACTTCTTGATTAGCCAATTTCACCTATATTCGCGTCGTCTTTACTGTATATCTTACACTCCGTACCAAGCAATGCTACTTTGCGTCGTCGAGAGCCCCCGCTCTTTTCCCACCTCACGATTTCCCACGCTAGACGGAAACAGAACTTGTCCGGCAGCTAGGTCTTTTTAGTTACCTGCCTGACGAGTGCAGAGACAGAAGTCATCCAAGTACCTTTTTAGCTTCTGGGAATTGCCTGACATTTGCTGACCCTTGTTCGGCGGCCCCTCTAGGTTACTCTACTCTCTACCTACCTACCTACCTACCTACCTACCTACCTACCTACTCTGGCTCGGTCTGTCTGCACCTGGCTCTCTTTTCTTTCCCTTTTCCTTCTTCCTCTGTCCCTGAATCTTCTCCGAGTTCCGCTTTGGCTCTTCTTCATCTCTTGGCTTAGTGTGCTCGAGGCAGGTCCTGTTGTCGTCGTCCATTCATTCATTCAATTTTGACTGCCCCAGAAGCAGACACGATAAAGCCTAAGACACGGCGCGCGCCACGCTCACCGTTCACCTCGCTGTCAACCACCCTGCCAGCCCTTCCTCCCTTGCTCTCTTCAGGGTCTCGTCTCTGCTGCTACCCATTGCCTTCAGGCACCACAAGTAGCTTCTTTTTTCTTCCTCGAGCTCCTTAACTCTTCATCTCGATATCCTCATCGTCAATCGCCGCGCAATCTTGGCCACACCTCCCGCAACCGTCACGGCCACTACGTCTGCTCCATATAAGCTCAGCCTCGTCGCACCTTCGTTCGATTCCGTCCTTGTCTCTCTCAACCGCCGCTTGCCCCTCGTCCTCGTCTTGATCCTCGTCCTCTCACTCGTCCTCGGACCCCGCTAGCCTCAAGCTCACCCAATCTCGCCCGCCCATCCGCGAAACTGGCGTCCCCTTCGAATCCCGCCGGTAGATCCTGTAGCCGCCTCGGCTGTGGACGAGTCTCCTTTTCTTCTCTGAGCTTCTCCAGCATGTGTTTTGGCAGTCGCAAAAGCGACAGCGGCGAGGCTCGCTCCCGCGAGCTCGACCGTATGCTCCGGCAGGATGAGCGCCGCATGGCTAAGGAGGTCAAGCTCCTGCTTCTCGGTGAGTGCACTGCCTGCGGGCGAAGCAGAAGCTCGCCCATCCCCTCTTCCACCTCTTTTCCCTTTCCTCCCATGCTTCCCTTCTTCATCGCCTCCAGCCCACGTCGCACAACGGCTCAGCCATGCGGTCGCACACAGCTCACCCATGTGGAGTCCCAATCTGGTCCTCTGTTCTCGCAAATCCTTGCCAGCTTCAAACCCCCCTTCCGACTGGCTGGCAGAGACTAATCTCTGTGTAACCCGCAGGCGCCGGAGAGTCGGGCAAATCGACCATTCTGAAACAGATGAAGCTCATCTACTCGCAAGGCTTCAGCAAAAGCGAGCGACTCGATTGGAAACCGGTCGTATTTAGCAACATCGTACAGTCCTTCCGCACCATCCACGAGGCAATGTCGGAGCTCAACTACGAATTTGACAACCCCGATAACGAGGTAAGCTTCGCTGCCAGCTCCTATACAGGTTACCATCTACTGCATGGCGCATTATGCTGCAATACCTCAGCTTGCGCGCAAAACCGCCAATCACATGCGCCTGTTGCTGCAGTCATGCACACAGCTAACAATGCCTGCAGAAGTATATGGCTTGCATTCTTGTCGAACACGAGATCAGCCCCGAAGAGACGCCACCACAAGAATACCTCGAACCAATCAAGATCCTGTGGCAGGACAGCGGCGTGAAGAAAGCTATTGCCAAGGGCAATGAGTATGCGCTCCATGATAATCTTGCATAGTGAGTAAAGCTCTTCATGCGAACGCCTTGCTACCGCGGGCAAACACTAATCGCAAACAGCTTTGTCGAAGACATAGATCGTATCTGGGCCGAGGGCTACGTCCCCAACGATCAAGATCTCCTCCGCTCGCGACTACGAACCACGGGTATCACAGAAACCATATTCGACCTCGGGCAACTAACATACCGCATGTTTGACGTCGGTGGTCAACGATCCGAGCGGAAGAAGTGGATACACTGCTTTGAAAACGTCAACTGCCTACTATTCCTCGTCGCCATTAGCGGTTATGACCAGTGCCTGGTGGAGGACAAAGACGGGGTATGTAACGCAGCTTGCCACCTGCGGATAGGTTTACGGATAGGCTAACATGTGACTTCAGAACCAAATGAACGAGGCGCTCATGCTTTGGGAATCGATAGCCAACTCGCACTGGTTCACGCGGTCGTCCATGATTCTCTTCCTCAACAAGATGGACCTCTTCCGTGAGAAGCTACCGCGCAGCCCCATCAGCAAGTACGGCTTCACCGACTACCACGGTCCAACGGACGACTACAAGGCTGCCAGCAAATATTTTCTCGACAAGTTCAAGGCTTTGAGTCGCAACCCGGAAAAGGAAATATACGGTCATTTCACCAACGCCACCGACACAAACCTGCTCAAGATCACCATGGGCTCGGTGCAAGATATGATAATACAACGCAACCTAAAGCAGTTAATACTATAAGGCTGGATAAGCGGGGTCGCGGCTGTTGTTGGCAAAATTTTGTCGCAACTGCCTCTCTTTCTTTCATTTTGCCTGGTCCGATGTCGGCTGTAGCTGATTGGTGCTTGAAGCGTTGTGTTCTCTTGGATGACTATCATGTATGATTACGGTATTCTCACGGCCTTGCATACTACGTCCTTGTTGACGATCCTTTTTCTTTTCAAAAATTGTCCTTCATTTTTGTTTTTTGTGTTTTGTTTTTGTTTTGTTTTTGACAGGACAGGTGCTGTTCTTGCTGCTACACCGCGATATCAAATTGATAGGTGGGAGTAAGGCTAAATCTGCCTGCGCAACGCCGCGCAGACAGATGTCAAATGAAATGATCGTTCATTTGTGGTGATACCCGGGTACGGATGCATTGCATCCACTTGTTTTTTTTTTTTTTTTTGCCTTGTTTATGAGAGCAAATGTGGGCTGGGCGACACGTTGCTGTGTCCTTTGATTGCCGGAGCAATAATCGGCCTTGCATGTGGTTCTCTGTTGTTTGAATGGTGGCTTCATGTGTTTATCCGATCGGCCTTGTCATCTAGGGGCCTTGAAATTTTGTGTTTTCATCAACCATTTCCGCCATCCCAATCATTTTTGGTGTACAGGGTCTCTTGCTGCCATGATACAGGCAGATGAGCAGCGGGAGAGGTGTTCTTTTTCTTTCTCCTTAGTATTACTGGTAGACTTGATTCCAGGGAAATTCGACCAAAATTACTTGGGCTTCTGTGCCAGACCGGGAACTGGGAACGGATGTAAGGCTCGGCATGTGACAGTCACAAGCCACGCGAGATCGACGAGCAAAGTTCCCCGCAAAATTGGATAAGTGGCTTTCTCAATAATTATAGAAAGAAGGCTGTGCGAATCGTTGATGGCTTTCTCCATAGCATCTGCCGAGCGGACCGGAAGGGTTGAAGAGCCAGCGGCACTTTAGGAGGACCCAGTACAGAACTAGGTAGGGGAGAGCAGGCACGGCAGAAAACAAAGATGTCGCAAACAATCTGCCAGTTGCAGATCTGAGATAGAGACTGGGTATTAATGAAGGGAAAACGGAAAGTGATTGGCGGGCTGGAATTTAAAGTTTTGACGTTTTGAGCCAGCGATGGCACCGATGACGATGAGTCTAGGTGGACGGACCCAACAGCACAGTCGTTTGTGTAGGTACATAGATGTCCCAATACGGGTTTAGTTTCTAGCAATAAATACTTCACTCTGTATCATTATCATTATGTATATATTGCTTTGTTGAATTATCTTCGTCTTAGTCAAGTATAGGTCTTTTTGCAGCAACCTGGTCTGCTTCCCCGCATCAAGCTTGCATCGGAGCGGAGCTTCCATGCAGGGAGGGGCCGGGACGGAGCTTACCCCAGGAAAACAAAAGAGCTAACTTTACAGCTTGCTGACTCCCGTTTGCATTCCTCGCTTCCTTCGAGCCGCCGCATCCTTCCTCGCTTGTGCTGGTTCCCTTCGACAAACATCCGCCAAGGGCACCCGGCATTCTAATCGTCCTCGGCAGAATAAAGAAAGGACAGTGAGCAATGGTTGCTGGCAGCGCGCTCTGGGCGGCCACTGCCGGCTTGGCCATCGCCGCCGCCGCGTCGGGCGATGCCATTGTCAACGACGCGCATTTCTACGGCCAATCTCCGCCAGTCTATCCGTCGCGCAAGTGTCTCCGCCTTTCATCATGCCCATCAGACGAACATGAATCCCTTAACAAAGTCGCCTCCGTGGGCTAATTCTTGTCACAGCAAATATGACCGCCACTGGCGGTGCGTGGGCAGACGCCCACGCCAAGGCCCGCGATCTCGTGTCTCGGATGACGCTCGCCGAAAAGGTCAGCCTCACCGGGGGCGCCCCCGTCAACAACGGCTGCTCTGGCAACGTCGCCGCCATCCCGCGCCTCGGCTTCCCGGGCATGTGCCTGAGCGACGCCGGCCAGGGCCTGCGCGCCACCGACTTTGTGAGCTCCTTTCCGAGCGGCATCCACGTCGGTGCGAGGTGAACGCCCACTGTCCTCCTCCTTTCTCTCACCCAGATTCCTAACTCATCCCACCAACCAGCTGGAACAAAGACTTGGCGGCGCGCAGAGGTGCTGCCATGGCCGACGAGTTCAAGAAGAAGGGCGTCAACGTGCTGCTCGGGCCGGTGGTCGGGCCGGCGTGGCGCGTGGCGCTGGGCGGCCGCAACTGGGAGGGCTTCGCGGCCGATCCGTACCTGTCCGGCTCGCTGGCGGCGCAGAGCGTCGTCGGCATCCAGGGCCAGGGCGTCATCACCAGCGTAAAGGTTTGTTATCCCATTTACTCGTAAATGTGCACACAGCTCGAGCGTCAATTCCTGACTAGTTTAATCTCGTAGCACTATATTGGAAACGAGCAGGAAACCAATAGGAACCCCAGCGGAGATGTCCAGGCCGTCTCATCCAACATTGACGACAGGACGATGCACGAGATGTACCTGTGGTATGCTGCGGCCCGACAACTCTGTTCTTACTTGCGAGTCAATGCTCACTAATCTTGCACCAGGCCCTTCCAAGATGCTGTACATGCTGGCTCTGGCAACATCATGTGCTCCTACCAGCGCATCAACAACTCGTACGGCTGCGCCAACAGCAAGACCCTTAACGGCCTGCTCAAAACGGAGCTCGGCTTCCAGGGCTTCGTCGTCTCCGACTGGGGCGCCCAGCACACTGGCTACGCCGGTGCCCTGGCCGGGATGGACATGGCCATGCCCGACCCGGGCTCCTTTTGGGGCGACAAGCTCGTCGAGTCTGTCAAGAACGGCTCCGTTCCCGAGTCGAGAATCGACGACATGGCCACCAGGTAAGACACACATCCTCGCCTCCCCAAACTCTCTCTCTTCCCCCCTACTCTCACAGCTAACCTTCCCGCCTAGAATCCTCACCCCTTGGTACCAGTTCAACCAGGACAAGGACTTCCCCAACCCGGGCTCCGGCATGCCCAAGGATATCACCAAGCCGCACGTCATCGTCGACGCCCGCGACCCTGCCGCTTCGTCCGTGCTCTTCGACGGCGCCATCGAAGGCCACGTCCTCGTCAAGAACACCAATTCCACGCTCCCGCTGCTACGACCCCGCCTCCTCTCCGTCTTCGGCTACTCCGCCAAGACGCCCGACCTGTTCGCCCCCGGCGGCGGCGTCCTGCAGACCTACCAGTGGCAGCTCGGCGCCGAGACCATCGACCCCGGCGCCGCCTTCTCCGCCGCCGCCCTCGGCGACCCCAGCGGCGCCGGCACCAACGCACCCTCCATCGGCATCAACGGCACGCTCTTCTCCGGCTGCGGCTCCGGCGCCACCACCCCCGCGCTCGCCATCTCCCCCCTCGACGCCCTCACCGCGCGCGCCCACCGCGACGGCACCGCGCTCCTCATCGACCTCGCCTCCCCGCGGCCCGTCGCCCACCCGGCCTCGGACGCGTGTCTCGTCTTCGGCAACGCCTTTGCCTGCGAGGCCTACGACCGCCCCGGCTTGCAGGACGCGCACACCGACGCGCTCGTCAACGCCGTCGCCGACTCGTGCGCGCGCACCGTCGTCGTGCTGCACAACGCCGGCCCGCGCCTCCTCGAGGGCTTCGTCGACCACCCCAACGTCACCGCCGTCCTCCTCGCGCACCTCCCCGGGCAGGCGTCCGGCCCCGCGCTCGCCGCTTTGCTCTACGGCGACGCCGCGCCCTCCGGCAAGCTACCGTACACGCTCGCCAAGAACGGGGGCGACTACCCTGCGCTCCGGCCCAGCGCGCCCGACGAGCGCCTCCGCAACTTCCCGCAGTCCAACTTCTCCGAGGGCGTGCTTACCGACTACCGCCACTTTGACCGGGCCAACATCACCCCGCGCTTCGAGTTCGGCTTCGGCCTGAGCTACGCCACCTTTGCCGTGTCCGGCCTGACCGTGCAGCGCGTCGCCGTCCGAGGCAGCGCCACCGCGCCGCTGGACGAGTTCCCCTCGGGGGCCGTCATCCCCGGCGGGCACGCCGATCTCTGGGACAACGTGGCGCTGGCGACGGCCGAGGTGCGCAACACGGGCGGCGAGCGCGCCGGCGCCGAGGTGGTGCAGCTGTACGTGGGCATCCCCGACGACGACGACGGCACGCCGGCGCGGCAGCTGCGCGGGTACGAAAAAATGAGCCTGCAACCGGGCGAGGTGGCTACGGTGACGTTTGCGCTGTCGAGGCGCGACCTCAGCGTCTGGGATGTCGGGGCGCAGCGGTGGCGGCTGCGGCGCGGGACGTATAGGATCGAGGTCGGCACGAGCAGCAGGGACCTGCCGCTGCAGGCGTCGTTGGAGATTTAGTTGTTTGAGTTGATTGGGAGCCATGAAGGGTATTCTCTTATGTGAAACATCATGGTACATGATGATTCTTATTTCTGGGTCGATTTGCAAGCACATGTCCTCAACAACCCCCGTGTGCAAGTTGCCTCTTGCAGGACATGGAGAACCACCAGCGATGCCTGGCAGGGACAAGTTCTCCAGCTATCAATAGCTGCAGTCAAGCAAGTTCTCTATACGCTTCTTCGCGTGCTATCTGTACCGTGCATACCCTGTTTATCTGGTTGATTCCGATTCCGTGGCGGGCAAAAGCATGGCTAGGTGAGGGCGTTGATAACCTACCCGGGAGGCGCGATGTGCCTCACACCGTTCGCCGACGACGAGTCAGCCTCGATACCCTAGGGTCGATTATTAAATGCAATGGGGGCGCGATAAAAAGCCCTCGATGACTCAATCCCAACATCTGCCATTATTTGACATCCCCTTCTGCGTGGAAGAATTTCAAGTTCACCGAGTCCAGTACACACAGTCTCTAACCAGCCATTTACACAAACCAACACGCCCAAAGTTGGCGGCCTCTGCCACGATCTCTTTCCACCATTTCCAACTATCTCCAAGGCAATACCCCAGTAATATTTACTTAATATGTCTATTGATCTTTCTCGTAATCGTCTTTTCCTTCTTTATCCTCTACATCAAAAGTTTCACAATAAAGTTGTCCACGCCCCCAATCCCCAATCCATGCCCCACATGATGAAAGACGACGGATGGTACGAGAGTATTCTCCCTCAGCTTCGGCGATATGTCCTTACGAAGTTTAAACTATTACCTTGCATTCCCTTATCGAAAGGGACCCTTTGCGATGAGACGATGGGCCTGACTCGTTGCGATACAGATGTGGAGAAAAGGAGGTGGGCAGGGCAAGCGAAAAAAGAAGGCTTCTAGAGCCTTGGCTTGCCTGGGTGGGCTTGTCATTCGTAATTAATTCAGATCCATACATAACATGGGCGGCGCGTCATGTCCGAGATGGGGACAAATCCATTCCACAAAAGGAAAAGAGAAGGAAAAAGTGAAAGCGGCATTACTCGCGAAGAGAACGGCGGTCTGGTGACCCCGGCTCTCTGGTATGCGATTCAGCGCAAAGTGAACCCAGTTGCCACGAGTCTTGCTCGGGAGCATCGGGTCTCACCCCCCTCCCTCTTTTCAGAATCGTCATAGATCGTATCTAGTTGGACAGTCCAAGGGAATCGGGCCTGGCTAGCTTCGAGTGTATAGGGAAATTACGCCGGTAGAGAAACTTGCTCACCCTTTCGGAGCCTGCTCTTCCGGAGCAGAGTCCGACGCGAGTTGGAGTGCGGGCACGAGTTAGACAAGATGAAGGAGACCTAGCTTACCTGCTGCTTCTCCCTCTCGGAACGCGCAGGCTGCCTCGTTCGTTTATGCCGACTCGGATTCAGCCCCCAAGAACCCAATCTCCTTGGTCTCTGAGAGCGCAACACTCCCCTCCCCCCTTCCTTACAGTCATAATACTTCATACAAGGCGCAGCAGAAGCAAAGCCCGACGCAGGCATGACGAGCAAAGTCCGAAATCGAAGTCACTAGTCAGTTCCCATCGTTGGCGTGTATCCACTGGAAACTCGGTCACGCGAGCAAAAAAAATCTATAGATGCGACGGGTTGTCGATAGTCCCGATGTGGAGATACACGGGGCCTGTGTTGATATTTCCGTCTCTGTATGGCCAGGGAATGATTCATGGAGACAGAGAAAAAGGTTCACCCCTGTTATTGTTATTTTGCTCTTCGGCCTTTTGGTTCGTCCAATGCGTCGGAGTCTGACTCGTCATCGAAGGAACATGTGGGGGGCCCATCGATGATCCCAGGAGAAGCGGTCAAATGAATAATTCTTTCTGGAAGGAGCTTTTCTTCCTTGAAGAGTCGTATCCCCTGCCCACTTGTCCTTGTCGGGCAATGCCCAGAACCGATGCCAATTACCCGCGCAGACAGTACCAGTAGCGCTGACGCCGAGGCAAGGCGCAGCTGGGGGAGATGGACCTCTCATTCGAGGGAGGAGTGCATCAAAAGAGAGGATGAGGCTGTGTGGGCCGAGGTCAAAATAATACCCATGTATGGTAGATGCACTTCGTGCATCGTTTCTCCGGGCTCGCTGCTCAAATGCCGAGTTGTGCTGGGGGGGGGGGGGGGCTAAGAGGGATGATCGGTGCCTGGAATCGCACAGAATTGCCGCTTTCAGCCCCGAGGGACGATCCCGCTAATCACCAACCACGGACTCTCGAGGACCCCGTCAACCGTCACTATCAATCACCTCGGTTCGCTCTCGCTGTGGGTAGCGATGTGAGCACTGCGAGTTGCCCTGATGCAACCTCCCGGTTCGTACCAGTAGCGAATGTTCCGGCTTCTTCCCGGGTGGTGCACCGCAGCGTGTCATCCGTCCACAAAATTGTATAATTGACCAGAGACAAAGTACCACTTTCCCCCGTAACTAATGCAGCGATCCCACGTCTCGTCAAGGGGGCGACGTGTCAGTCAGAGGTACAAACGAATACCTGTATGGATTCTGTTGTCTCGGAATCGCCAGACTCCAGCAATAGGTGCGATTCAGTCTATTCAGACAGAGTTGTATGGACCTCGGACCTCAAGACCGCAACACCCCCACCTCCCACTCCCTGGGCAAGAGATGAGATACGCCGATATGGGGGTGAGTCCCTGTTCATCCAGACGGAGCCCGGGCTAGGCTAGCAAGTTGGCAAGCTAGCATCGCCGCTGGATCACCAAGTCTTCGCTGGTGGGCCGGGCGGCCAACGACGGCGACACAGAGACTTCTTCAGGAAACACGCCCTGTATATCTGGTGTAAGAGTGTGGCAAATCGACAAGGCTACCTTGTCCTTGTTCTAGTGCCACCCTCATGTCTGGACCTGCCTGCCAGTGAAATCCCCGCTCCAGCAGAACAACAGCGTTTCCAGAAGCAGACGCACGGGCAGTTCTGAGTGCAACGGGGACAAGCTTTGAGCAAGAAAGGAAAAAGGGGGCAGAGATCCAGAAGACAGTTGAGATTGCCCCGAAAACTTCACACGCCCCTCGGGGCATGACCAGCTTTCCCAGTCGTTGACCGACGACCCCTTTGCTAGGGCCGCAACCCTTGGATGCGTTGCATCACGACTCTGCCTTGAATACGAGTCTCGTCGAACTCCCGTCATGGTGGGATTTTGATATGTTGCACGTCGCCGCACCATGCCCCTCTGGCACAGGTCCTTCACTGGCGCATACCACATCTTTGGCGGGCTGAAATGAGCCTTGAACGTCCTAATAACAAGGAGATGGTAGCGAAACGCACAAGACCTTCGTAAAGCCCGCGGCACCCGCCGCAGACACATTGGGCCAGCGTCGCACCAACAATGCAGGACTCAGGACCGGCTCACATAACTCAATCGCATTATGCCACTCGGTGGCACAGCCTGACCTGAACAGTTGCAGCACCTTCTCCGTTCTCCGCAGTGTCGGGTCTAGCTAGTAGTTATGGCGGCAAGGTGGCATTGCACTGATACACTGCTTTACTGGTGCATCTGCCGAGCCCCAGTATCACAATCTGCAACCGAGACAGCCTGTAGTTGCTTTTTCCTCTCGGGTTGCCCTCTTGTTCTGTACTCTGAAGCGCGGTGGACTTCCGAGGAGGGTCCTTAAGGCACGATGAATATAGAAAATACACACATGTAATCTGTTCACTGCCATTCCCAGGGAGCGGTGTGGACAGATTGCGCCCTGCTCTCTGCCGCGTTGACTCGCCTTACTCAAGCCGTGTGGAGTGAAATCCTCTGGTGTGCGGCTTGCCTGAATAATGACGCCTTGTCACGGTGGTCAGGTGGACAGACTGCGGAGAGAGAAAGAGCCTTGAGACATCCCGCATCTCCTGACCGCTGCCAAGCTGAACGATCATGGAATGTGGGTGGAAGTCCCGACGCAGTCGTACGTGGCATGGCCGATGTTCCGTTGCCGAGGCGCGCCGCTCTGCAGAGATGCAAGCGTGGACATGAGTGGTGAGCCGTGACGGGATCCCGTGCGAGACAGCGAGTCTGATTTCATGTAGATATAATCATGTCAATGCGACAATGGATGAGATTTTTTTTTTTTTTTTTTTTTTTCATCATTTTGCCGCGTTTTGAATAGCCGCTACCTCATAGACCGACTCTTTCTGTGGGTTTCTGCAGCTGGCTAGTCGTGCAGCTGATGCATCAGTTTGATCGCCTCAGTCATCAGACGTGCGGCCTGGCGCCGCGGCATGCATGGTCCGCTGGTGATAGGTCAGCAACCCTCAAAAGTAATGGATAGTGGGATGGCCCGCCGCCGTGCCATCTCTGAGTAAGCAAGATTGCCGAATTCCTTACTCCCACCGGCGACTTGATCAGGCATAATCAAGGCAAGAGGTGGGCGTGACGCCGTTATAGCTGTTGCATGAGATCAGCATTCAGGCAGGCTGTCATTGATTCAACCTCGGGGCACCTTGGGCTGCCTGTCTGGGAGCAAGATTGGCCCTAGCTGCAGCGGAAGCGAGATCCGGGTGAGATGCGCCAAAGCGCAGTCATATCGGCCAGGGTTTGAGCGTCAACGCTAGCGCTGAAGAGGGAAAATCTCCCGGGGCGTGTACGACATGTATCAAAGTGTCAAAGAAAAGATCCAGATCCATGCGAGACATCTGGAGACGGGGGTGAGGGCACCATGCACCGTCCCCTGACATTTACTATTCTGCTCTTTGGAATGGCATCTCACGTTGATCGCTCAAGTCCGGCGACTGGCTGGCATTTGCGACATCCCGGCACATGTCCGATCAAGAAACGAAGCGGAGGCTGCTGTGGCAATGTCGCTTAAACGAAGCCTCTCAGGCGATGTAGTAGTGCCACCCTTGTACGGTGTACATAGTTAGTGCCAGGTTCTGCCTTGTGTGCTACTGCCGAGACCGAGAGTCAGCGCGGCGTCGTCGTTGCTGTTGCATCGGCTTTCCTGATGGTTCA